TGAAGTTTGATCAAACAGCAGAAACATTCAGGTCAGGCCCGACACAAGAGACACAGAGAGGAGATTAAGGAGCAGTTTTAAGAAGCTTCACCAGTTTCTAGAAGAGGAAGAGGAGGCCAGGCTGTGTGCACTGAGGGAGGAAGAGGAGCAGAAGAGTCAGAGGATGAAGGAGGAGATGGAGGCTCTGAGCAGAGAGATAGCAGCTCTTTCACGCACAGTCAGAGACACAGAGGACGAGCTGAGAGCTGAAGACGTCTCATTCCTGAAAAACTACAAGGCTGCAGTGGAAAGAGTCCAGCAGCGCCCCCTGCTGGAGGATCCACAGCTGCCCTCAGGAGCTCTGATAGACCAGGCCAAACACCTGGGCAACCTGAGCTTCAACATCTGGAACAAGATGAAGGACATGGTCTCCTACAGTCCGGTCATTCTGGACCCAAAACTGCTCATCCCTCATCCTGTCTGAAGATCTGACCTGTGTGACAGAGGAGAGAGACAGCAGCTTCCTGATAATCCAGAGAGGTTTGATACTTACGCTCTGTCCTGGGCTCTGAGGGCTTTAACTCAGGGACTCACAGCTGGGACGTCCAGGTTGGAGACAGTACATACTGGACTGGGTGTGTTAGCAGAGTCTGGACAGAGGAAGGGAGACAAAAGTCTGGATTATGGTTCATATGGTTCAGTGATGGTAAATACGGAGCACACACCCCATCACATCCAGTCACTGCTCTCTCAGTGAAGAAGAATGCTCAGAGGATCAGAGTGAATCTGGACTGTAACAGAGGAGAGCTGTCCTTCTCTGATCCTGATACTAACACACACATACACACACACACACACACTTTCACTGAGAGGATGTTTCCATACATTTACACTTTTGATGAACTCCCACTGAAGATGTTACCAGAGAAGATCTCTGTGACTGTGTCGTCCTGATGTCTCTGGTTGTCTTTATGACAGAGCTCAGATCTGTTTGGTGTAACTCAGGGACTCACAGCTGGGACACTGTGGGGGGGTAGAGTCTGTCCCTGTTCTCTGAGTGAAGAAGAGGCTGCAGAGGATCACAGTGAGTCTGACACCAACACACACTTTCACTGAGAAACAGTTTGCATGCATCAGAACTGAGAGAAGAACTCCCACTGAGGACTTAACCACTGAATCTCTGTGACTGTAGATTTAAAAAAACATCTTGATGATTAGAATCAAATTTCACTCATTTTTCTTAAGCGATATTTGAACACCTTAACAATCAATGATCCATTAATGATGAATAATTAATGAGCCATAAAAAGCTCGTCTTCTTCTCAGTTTATGTTTTGTTGAAGTTATTTTAAACATGAATTCATTAAATACAATCAGTTTGAAATAATTAAACTACGAGGCTCTCTCTTAAAAACAACGTATTGTCATGATTTGGTCTTATGTAGTTTGTATTTTCAGTTTGTCTCCTAGCTTAGTTTCTAGTGTTTTTATTTTGTATTTCCTATACCTGTGTTTCTTTGTTCTAGTGTGTTTTCTTGGTAATGTTTCATTCTTGAGTTCTGATCTCATTCATCTGGCGAAGGCTGCGTTCCATCATTCTTGTAATTCTGCTTTAATCAAACTGGGTGCCTTTTCATCAACTTGTTCATTGGTAGTTTGTTTGTGTGTTTTACTCTGACTTTGATTATCGACCATGTAAAAAAAAAAAATTAACATAATTAAAAGAAAACAGTCAACAATCTGTCATCTGTCATTTATACATAACACCTGTGGTTGAAATATGATTAGCATGCTAATATTAGTAGTAATTTATTTCATTACATTATGAAATATACTATTAACATTGTAGTATACTTTTTAAGCATTCAGGTTTAATTTTTACACAGCTATGAATAATATGTAATAAGAGAGCCAGCACAGGACCCTGTAACTGCAGCAGCTTGTCCACATGTGGCACATGCATCGTACAGTCAGAAAAGCAGGAACATCTGAGGTGGTAAGACACATAAATATCACAATATGTCATTTTTGTCATTGGTTCATGCACACAATGTGGCATGAAGGAGACAAGCTGCCAACAGGAGAAACATTCTGGCTATCCTATTACAAAATGAAGACCATGTAAATAGGACACATTCAATATTTGTAAGGGTAAACTGGGATTATGTAAGGAAGTTAATGTAAGCTCCTCACCTCAAATATTGAAGGTATATACACTCAGATAAGTCAATAAATACTATTGTGTGACATGTTTATTAGTAACCACTTCATTTCTTAACATTGAATTAAATTCAAACAGTGAATTTCACAGCAAACTGACAACAGTATTATATCAGTAACCAAAAAACACTTCATGAATGATAAAACACTTTTCACTTTGGAAACACAAGTTCAGACACCTGAAACATCCTGTCCCTACTCAGCGTGGACTGTGAGGACAATACCTCTAATTGAACGGCCACAGCGCTACTGTCCGCCTCTACCTGGGAGATGGAGAACTAAAGAAAGACTTCAGTCTGTCAAGGCAGACAGTGAAGGCCTTGGTGGAGTGTCTGGGATACACCAAGGACCATGGCTGGAGCAAAGACCTCGAAGTGGGGATATATTTATACTGGCTGGCCAGTGCCACCTCGTATCGGGTGGTGTCAGGAGCCTTTGATGTCCCCATCACCACGGTTCATGATGTTGTTCATCGAGTCGCTGGAAGTATCATCAGCATCATGAAGAGGGTGGTTCATCTCCCTGCTGCTGATGAGCTAGAGGGAATAGGGGAAGGCTTTGCCCACCTGGCTGGCTCTCATGCCTTCTGCAGAGCGGCTGGCAGCATTGATGGGACACACATTAGAATCAAGCCACCTGCAGCAAACAAAGAAGACTACCTTAACAGGTAACCTGCGTACAAAATACCACTTCATATAAACCTGTTTTTAATCCCATATCAATGTGAGTGGTTATCAATTCCATTTTGTGTTGTTCAACAGGAAGCTCTTCCATTCAGCTGCTGGTGGTGTGTGATCACAAAGGCCGCTTCCTTAATACATATACAGGTAGAAATGAAAGTCAGAAATGTATTAGTACAGCTTCCACTGCTTAACACTAGAACGACCAGCATTCTATCACTACTAGAAAGGCCATAGCGCTCATTTTGACTGTTTACAAATTATTGCATATCATTTCAATAATCAGTATCAAATATAAGAATAAATGGATCTGTAATGTTGTGAAAGGTAATAAACTTCAGGACACAAACATTAAATTCTAATGAATTTGAAATTTGAATAGTTTATCGACAACCACAGGAACAGCAGCCGGTGTTTTTTGCGAATGGGAATGTGTCACGGATCGGAAAACCAAGAGGAGGACCCAGATGCAGAATCAACAAAAACATTTAATCAAACAAAAACTCACTTCCAAAAATCCAAACAGGAGAAAACAAGGAGCCACGGGTAAACTGACAACCATACACACACACACACACAACACACAACACACACAACACAACACACACACAACACACAACACACAACACACAACACACACTGGCAACTTACAACAATGAACTGACACAGAAGGGAAGACACACAGAGACTAAATAGACACATGGGGTAACCAGACACAGGTGAGACTAACGACACAGGTGAGGACAATCAGGGCAATCACACTGGGAAACACACAGAGACAGGAATACAAGAAACACTGAGGACAAACTAAATCATGAAACACTAAAGACACACAGAACTCAAGAATCTAACAAAACACACTAGAACACAGAGATACACGAGGATATGAAGTTACAAAAATAACACATGAAACACTAACCTAGAAAACACACAAGGGAAACAACACCATCAGACAAGAATGAGAACTAAAAACAACAAGAAAACCTAAACTCTGAAAATAAGAAACCAAATCATGACAGGAATGATCTCTGTATCATTCTCAGGTTTAATCTCAGAGCCAGTGTCAGATGAAGAGAGACCAGGAGACATCACTTTCTGTATCCGAACCTGCACCTCCATCAGACTCTGCCTCATCAAGGCTCTGGAGCCTCTGTGGCAGCAATCCTCCTCCTTCCTGACATTTCATTCTATTCTATTCTAAATCAGATCCTAATTTACTCTATTCTGCCTTTTCAATGTTGATTCATTCAAAAGTATGTCTCCTATTCTTTCTATATGGTTTTAGGCGGGTAAGCTTTCTTTCCTCCTTGGCTCCAGCGTTATAAACAATAGTTGCTAGGCAACAGCGATGTGCACCTTCAAGTAGTGGTGGGTGATATAACGATCTTAGATCGTGAAGGATTTTAAAGTGCCAAAGCAGGGAGATCGTAGAACCGGGCTGATGTGTTTATTCTATCATGCTGCAGTTTATTCTCTTACACAGACGTGTCTCCTCCTTTTTTGCTCCGCAGCGGTGAAAACGAAACTTAAAAGGAAAGTCCGCAAAAACAACTCCATCTCGGTTATATGCAACTGTTCTGATATGTTTCCAAACCGACACGCTGTGAGCAACAGTTAACTTCTCTGCATAGTGTGCACAGTTAAGATTAGTCTACATCTCAGATAGCGACACGGAGAGACGTTAACAGTCAGAGACAGACAGGTTGGAGCTCAGACAGACAGTGAGGGGAGATATAACCCCGGTGTTTCAAATGTTGCTGTCGGTGTTTTCTGCTCTCTCTCAGTTTTTAAAAGTTACTTATCAAGCTTCTCCACCTGAAGCTCACCTGTTGTGATAACTGAACCTATAGGGATTACACTAAACGACGTTACAAAGCAGCAGGCAGGTGAGAGTGAGTAACCATGGTGACTGTCTGTCTGTCAATCAACAATGTCCCGCCCCCTCTATGAATTAAACTCTTCTGTCAGTAAAACTTACTTTGATCATGTGTCACAGAATGAACACATTCTGTATTATGTTTGATTATATATAAACTAAACTAAAGTTAGTCCAATGATGTCATAAAAACAACAAAGTCTGCAGAGCCTGTATGAAGCTCCAGCTGGAGGAACTCTGCAGGGCTAAAATAGAACAGAAACACAAGAACTTGAAGTCTACATGTTTTTAAATGAATGAATAACTGCATGAAAATGTTCCTGATGAACATAAAAAGAGGACACATAACTAAATCATCATTTCAAAGTGGTGAGGAAAACCTTCAAATTGTTCATAAATATTGATCAAATTGAGGGAAAGACATTTCTGTTGCTAAAGATGTTCTGGGTGAGAGACCTCCAGACCTCCTACAAAGATGTTTTTCAAATAGATTAAACTTGTCTGCACAGTTTTTGTGCATTTAAAAACATCATACAGGTAAATAAGTTTGGTTGAACTGGTCAGTAACTTATAAATTTGTCTAAAGATCAGTATGAAAAAAATTGTGATCGTGATTTTGCCCCAAAACAAATTGTGATATGATATTTTTCCCATATCGCCCACCTCTACCTTCAAGAGCGGGAAAAAGTAGCGAATACTGAAATGATACACTGGCTATAATGCATGCAGTCAATATGCCCGCTATGGACTTTCAAGGTAGAAATACTCAAAACTCTTTTGTGTTTTTGATAAAATTACAATGCTAGAATAAAATATAGACACATTTAGGAAAAGTCATGGTCCTGTAGTTACATAGGTTTTATTTTAAGTAAGTTATTACATTGCAAAATTAAAAAACTGTCAAAATGACTGCCTTGGTCTTTCTAGTGTTAAGGGATTGTTGATCTAATAAATAATTCAGTCATCAGTTACTGACATTAATACAAGAATTTGTGATGTCACATTTCAGAAGTGTTTGAGACGGGCATTTTCAACATAATGTGTCCTGTACCATGTCAAGTACAATGACATATTCACAATACATCACCCTTGTTCACAGGACTTCCAGGCTCTGTCCACGATGCAGGGTCCTGCGGTGGAGTTCTCTGTACGTACACCAACTCTACCCCCCTCATGGCTGGTGTATTGTTGGGGATGGGGGTATCCCTGCCTGGCTGCACCAATCAGCTTGATGACCCCATTCAGGGAGCCGGTGCAAAACCCTGTTCATGTACGATACAACCAGCATCATGCCAAAGCACGGTGTGTGGTGGAAAGGGCGATTGGCATGATGAAGACGCGGTGGCGCAGCATCTTCCTCAAGGCCCTGGAGGTGAGAGACAGCATTAATGTGTAAATCTAAGTACACACTAGTTGAATAAGTGCTGAGCAGTGGCTATTAAATATAAGCAGCAAAGTAATACAGGTATGGACATTCTGAGACAATAATGAAAACAAAAGAGCAGCGTAATGCGAGCTATTCAATCATGTTTACTTTCATTATACAGCTACATTAAACTTGTATTTTTTCCTGTAGATCAAGCCAACCTTTGTTCCTGCAGTGGTGTCGACCTGTGTCTTCCTCCACAACCTCTCCATCAACAATGGGGATTTGGTGGAGCCAGAGGTGGAGGAGGGGGCCTTCCATGACCAGGGTGATGACCACTGGGACCACCCTGATGATGCCAGGAGACAACATGAGGAACAGGCTGGCAGCAGAAGTTTTTGCACCTATTGGGGTCATCCAAGCACTGCAGGACCATAACTACTAACATATATATTTTCATTTCCACTACTTTTATTTATGGAGATTTAGGTTTTGTTTGTTCACAAATATAATTTTTCATGAGCATGCTCACATTGCATTTTCTGTTAATAAAAGTGGCTGTTTCACATTTTGCCTATTTGGATTTCACTTAGAAGTGTCTGTGTTTTAGTCGTTTCTGTACAGGGGAGGGAGGAGAGACCACCACTACATCCTGAAGAGTCAATGGTGACCGGACGTGTTGTTGAAGGCCTCCGACCCAGTGCCTCGTCCATCAGGGCATACCATTTCCAGGATGCAGCGGTGGCCTCTCCTCCCTCCGTGTTCACTCCCGTTTTGGACACACACCCACACACACACACACACACACACAGACACACACACTTGTGTAAAGGCTACATTAAAGTCATTGCAGGTGATCTCACACCTTTGGAAGGCAGCAGCTTACTTATGCCTACCTTGTATTTTTGTTTGAGGTTCTCCCACTTGTGCTTGATCTTCCCCGCGTCCACTTTCCCCACCAGGGCACGCTCTCTAGGGGGCACTGGTATGATAGAACTGATCCAAAGGGCACAAGACCAAATTTGGACTCCACCATGGTGAGTTCCTCAAGTCCATGAAGAATCTTACAGATCCCCAGCTGTGGCTGAATGTCTTTCAATTTCTCTCCAACAGACATCACACCCGGGTCAGGAAGGGGCCCTACCACACAAGATTATATGAGGATTCATCGCTTATATTTTGTGTGTTTTTAATAGAACTGCCAACTTGCTCTTCCTTATAATCATAACCTCGTGTTGATTCCTGACCTGGGTCCGAGGCCTGTGCCAGGTCTGCAGTCTGTCAGTGCAAGACACATGTAATGGCACAATCTTGTAGTTCAAGGTGCTGAAACGGGCACTTAGATAAAGAAGCCCCACCAAGTGGTTCCAAAGGGCTCTCCCTGCAGCACAGGAACAAGATGTGGACCTTATCACTATGGGAACCTTGGCAGCTTCCAATGTGATCTGTTAGGGAAGTAACAAAAACAATTACAGGTTTTCACAACCAAGAAGATTACTATTACAACACATCATAGAATATGATAGGATACAATAAATATGCTCTTAATTTAATATTCATTTGGTGTCTCATGATGCCTTGGTCAGGAGTAATGGCAGGAGTATGTACCAAACATACATGTGTTTTTAGATTTTTGAAATGTAGATTAAGGTCAGTAACAGGTTTACCTTAGATCAAGAAATACTCAAGAACATACGAATTGTGTGGAGTGATTTTCATTTGAACTTTGACTACAGACAGGCAACATCAGACAGCAAGAACAGCAACCTAAAATGATTTTAACATGGAAACAACAGACTGCAACTGTAGTAAAGTTACCTTGATGACACTTTAACAGTCACAACAGACTGTAGTAAAGTTACCTTGATGACACTTTAACAGTCACATCAGACTGTAGTAAAGTTACCTTGATGACACTTTAACAGTCACATCAGACTGTAGTAAAGTTACCTTGATGACACTTTAACAGTCACAACAGACTGTAGTAAAGTTACCTTGATGACACTTTAACAGTCACATCAGACTGTAGTAAAGTTACCTTGATGACACTTTAACAGTCACATCAGACTGTAGTAAAGTTACCTTGATGACACTTTAACAGTCACATCAGACTGTAGTAAAGTTACCTTGATGACACTTTAACAGTCACATCAGACTGTAGTAAAGTTACCTTGATGACACTTTAACAGTCACATCAGACTGTAGTAAAGTTACCTTGATGACACTTTAACAGTCACAACAGACTGTAGTAAAGTTACCTTGATGACACTTTAACAGTCACAACAGACTGTAGTAAAGTTACCTTGATGACACTTTAACAGTCACATCAGACTGTAGTAAAGTTACCTTGATGACACTTTAACAGTCACAACAGACTGTAGTAAAGTTACCTTGATGACACTTTAACAGTCACAACAGACTGTAGTAAAGTTACCTTGATGACACTTTAACAGTCACAACAGACTGTAGTAAAGTTACCTTGATGACACTTTAACAGTCACAACAGACTGTAGTAAAGTTACCTTGATGACACTTTAACAGTCACATCAGACTGTAGTAAAGTTACCTTGATGACACTTTAACAGTCACAACAGACTGTAGTAAAGTTACCTTGATGACACTTTAACAGTCACAACAGACTGTAGTAAAGTTACCTTGATGACACTTTAACAGTCACAACAGACTGTAGTAAAGTTACCTTGATGACACTTTAACAGTCACAACAGACTGTAGTAAAGTTACCTTGATGACACTTTAACAGTCACATCAGACTGTAGTAAAGTTACCTTGATGACACTTTAACAGTCACATCAGACTGTAGTAAAGTTACCTTGATGACACTTTAACAGTCACATCAGACTGTAGTAAAGTTACCTTGATGACACTTTAACAGTCACAACAGACTGTAGTAAAGTTACCTTGATGACACTTTAACAGTCACATCAGACTGTAGTAAAGTTACCTTGATGACACTTTAACAGTCACATCAGACTGTAGTAAAGTTACCTTGATGACACTTTAACAGTCACAACAGACTGTAGTAAAGTTACCTTGATGACACTTTAACAGTCACATCAGACTGTAGTAAAGTTACCTTGATGACACTTTAACAGTCACAACAGACTGTAGTAAAGTTACCTTACCTACTTCAACCAATAATGATTCACGTAATATTACTTTATAACATCTTATTTTTTTAAGATATAGCCTATGAAACAACAATATATATAAATCTATTGTTCAACAAGTTTGAGGACTTACGGGAACTACAAGTCCAGGAAAAAAGAAAGATTGAAAGAAAGATTGAAAGAAAGATTCTTAAAGCACACCAAGCACTTCACCTTCAAATCAAAATAATAAGCCATCGATAATAAACACAAAAAAATGATGATAGTGACAGAAACAGTAACTGATAATAACAGAGATTCAGCGATTCAGTACATGAAAGCTATGTAGCTTAATGGTTATAGCAGCGCCACGTCGATATAGAGACTCGGGTTCGGTTCCTGAAACCGCCCAACAAAATTTATGTTTTAACGTTTACTTTATTGGGAGATTATAACTCAAAATGCTCCCGAACAGGAGACGTTTTCCTCTTTCTCACAGGCTCCATTTCTCCAAAAAAAGAGAACCAAAACTACAACTCCCAACAACCAACTAACGCAAACTCACGAGGAGACATGACAAGTGGGTTTCACTTCCTCTTATCCAAAATCGAAACACAAACAGATCAATGACGTAGACTCGAAGTGAGGAAAGAAAGAAATGTGCCTCCTACTCGACACACGCTTCAAAGCCTCGGTGTCAAACGTAACCTCATTAATCTGGACTTTTACCTGAAACTGAATCCACAAACCGGATAAGAGGTAAAAAAAAAAGAACAAAGAATACAGATTAAAGGAACTTTGAGTGACAGGGAGTGACTCCCAGCTGTTCGTCTCCTCGTCTTCAGCTTGAGATAAAATGGCGTCCAAGTTAGAGGAAGATCTGAGCTGTCCGGTCTGCCTCAACATCTTTAAAGATCCAGTCATCCTGTCCTGCTGTCACAGCTTCTGTAGAGAGTGTGTGAAGGACTGCTGGAAGGAGAAGGAGAACAAGGAGTGTCCGGTTTGTAAGAGGAGACAGTCAAAGGATTTATTACCTCTAACTTTACTTTAAAGAACCTGTGTGAGAGTTTTGTGCAGGAGAGAGATCAGAGAGCTTCAGAGGATCTCTGCAGTCTGCACTCTGAGAAACTCAAACTCTTCTGTCTGGACCATCAGGAGCCGGTGTGTGTCTCTGCAGAGATTCAGAAAAACACAGCAAACACACAATCAGACCCATCGATGAAGCTGCTGGACAACACAAGAAGAAACTTCAGGAAACTCTGGAGCCGGTAAAGAAGAAGTTAAATGTTTTTAAAGAAGTTAAAGTGAAGTTTGATCAAACAGCAGAACACATTCAGGTCCAGGCCCGACACACAGAGAGGCAGATTAAGGAGCAGTTTAAGAAGCTTCACCAGTTTCTAGAAGAGGAAGAGGAGGCCAGGCTGTGTGCACTGAGGGAGGAAGAGGAGCAGAAGAGTCAGAGGATGAAGGAGGAGATGGAGGCTCTGAGCAGAGAGATAGCAGCTCTTTCACACACAGTCAGAGACACAGAGGACGAGCTGAGAGCTGAAGACGTCTCATTCCTGAAAACTACAAGGCTGCAGTGGAAAGAGTCCAGCAGCGCCCCCTGCTGGAGGATCCACAGCTGCCCTCAGGAGCTCTGATAGACCAGGCCAAACACCTGGGCAACCTGAGCTTCAACATCTGGAACAAGATGAAGGACATGGTCTCTACAGTCCGGTCATTCTGGACCCAAACACTGCTTATCCAGTCTACATCCTGTCTGAAGATCTGACCTGTGTGACACGAGGAGAGAGACAGCAGCTTCCTGATAATCCAGAGAGGTTTGATACTTACTACTCTGTCCTGGGCTCTGAGGGCTTTAACTCAGGGACTCACAGCTGGGACGTCCAGGTTGGAGACAGTACACCCTTGGACCTGGGTGTGTTAGCAGAGTCTGGACAGAGGAAGGGAGACAAAGAGTCTGGATTATGGTCAATATGGTTCTATGATGGTAAATACAGAGCACACACCCCACCACATCCAGACACTGCTCTCTCAGTGAAGAAGAAGCTTCAGAGGATCAGAGTGAATCTGGACTGTAACAGAGGAGAGCTGTCCTTCTCTGATCCTGATACTAACACACACATACACACCTTCACACACACTTTCACTGAGAGGATGTTTCCATACATTTACACTGGTGATAAACTCCCACTGAAGATGTTACCAGAGAAGATCTCTGTGACTGTGTCGTCCTGATGTCTCTGGTTGTCTTTATGACAGAGCTCAGATCTGTTTGGTGTAACTCAGGGACTCACAGCTGGGACACTGTGGGGGGGTAGAGTCTGTCCCTGTTCTCTGAGTGAAGAAGAGGCTGCAGAGGATCAGAGTGAGTCTGACACCAACACACACTTTCACTGAGAAACAGTTTGCATGCATCAGAACTGAGAGAAGAACTCCCACTGAGGACTTAACCACTGAATCTCTGTGACTGTAGATTTAAAAAAACATCTTGATGATTAGAATCAAATTTCACTCATTTTTCTTAAGCGATATTTGAACACCTTAACAATCAATGATCCATTAATGATGAATAATTAATGAGCCATAAAAAGCTCGTCTTCTTCTCAGTTTATGTTTTGTTGAAGTTATTTTAAACATGAATTCATTAAATACAATCAGTTTGAAATAATTAAACTACGAGGCTCTCTCTTAAAAACAACGTATTGTCATGATTTGGTCTTATGTAGTTTGTATTTTCAGTTTGTCTCCTAGCTTAGTTTCTAGTGTTTTTATTTTGTATTTCCTATACCTGTGTTTCTTTGTTCTAGTGTGTTTTCTTGGTAATGTTTCATTCTTGAGTTCTGTGTGTCTTTTAGTGTTTCATGATTTAGTTTGTAGTTGTCCTCAGTGTTTCTTGTATTGTATTCCTGCCTCTGTGTGTTTCCCTCCGTGTTGATGACCCTCATTGTCTTCACCTGTGTCGTTAGTCTCACCTGTGTCTGATTACCCCATGTGTCTATTTAGTCTCTGTGTTTCTTGTCCTCTGTGTCAGTTCATTGTTTGTTGGTATTTGTCAGTTTTTGCTCGTGCTCCTGTGTGGCTCTCTGTTTTTGATCCCTGTGTTTTTTTTGTTGAACTTTTGGAAGTAAGTTTTTGTTTATTAAATATATTTAGTTAATTCTGCACGTGGGTCCAGTTCCTTGTTTTTCCCCTGAACGTGACACGTATAACTGTCCTTATCACCTGTTCTGAGTTTGAGTCTTTCTGGAGCTTCATCCTGTAAAGGT